CACATTTCGTGCGTATGCTTGGGCCAAAATCCCCCGGAAAGTGAGTAAATCCCCCCGAATAGCCGGGGACCGGGCCATTTTTGGGAGGTTTTCCGCCAAGTTGGCGGATATTCATACATTTATAGGCTGTTTGGTGCGTAACCTTTAAGGCAACCAAACTCATTCATACCACTTTCGTGCGTATGATTTTCATTTTTTTCTAAAAAATTCATACATTTTGGTCACCCACATAGTTCGGGGGTTTCCAGGGTCCTCTTTTGACTTTTCACCGCTGCAATACGGCGCAAGCTCCATGCACTCTCGGAGTTGATGTATGTTCTATGTGTGAAATTCTGAAGGTCGGAGCCTCGGAGTCGGAGTATAAGAGTTGATAGCCCAGCGGAGCATTTTCATCCTCAACCAACCCACTGACTTAATCAACCAACCGACAAACACCGCCAGGAAACTTCAATTGCTTGACACTACTATAACATTCCCTACCATTTTCTTCTATTAAATCTCATCAAATCGCAAACCACCTACCCATCTATCCAGACTAGATACAACAAAAAAATCAGCTGCCAGATATCAAAAACAACAATAGCAAAAAGACAAGTCCAGCAATCACTCGATAGGCAGGCAGTCATGTTCAAAATCTTCCGTCTAATTTCTAAAATCTACCTGTTTGTTTCGGCTGTTCGGAAGCTCGATTTAAAACAGATCAAGAAGCATTCTGAACTGCTCAAAGAGAAAAGGAGATCGTCAGTACCCCCCTCCCCATCAGCTGTCGCTTGTTTCTTTTAGCTTGCTCTATGCAGGTCTTGGAACTGATTTTTTCCATTGCATTCTGTTTGATCCTGAAAACTCCTAGGCGGAAGACTCGTGAGCGCTCTCTGATCGTCAAGTTGACCGATCCTTGTGGCGACTTCTATCCGAAGAAAACCATCCAAAACTTGTTGATGGGCTTCTGAGCCCAACCCCACAAAAACTCGAACACATCTCGTCATATTGTATAATCTTACACGTACATAAATCGATCCACCAATCATGCACCTCAAACAACAGACGCGGCGCGTTTTCCTCGGGGCCACTTCCGAACATCTC